CTGGCCACAGTTGCGGCCAGTTCATCGTCTTTGTTAATGGCAGGATAAGATGTGCTCTTTGGCGACTCACAGTTCACAAAATCAATTCTGAAAACAGGCTATTCATCACACTCTTCTGGAAGAAATCACCAAAAAAAACTTTACTTGCCATCTCAAGCATTTCGGCTTGCTTTAAAGATATATCTTTGCAGTCTTAAATATATCTCTGCGGTCTTAAAAACTTTTCAATATAAAGACAGGGATAAAAATTTTCACCTACCAGATAAACGATTGAAAATACGGTTTATTTGAAAACACACAACATTCGAATGCAAAACCGAATAAGGAACAACAAAAGTCAGAAAAATCGCACCCCGTGCATTAATTACAACAGACGGGGAAATCTGCATTTCCCGACCAAGTCTGGATAGTCAAAAAGTGATACTGAAGGCGTGAAAATATGCAAACAGCTGTTAATTTGTATTTTAGCCAGTAAATTTCCCCAAACGAAACAAAAAGAGGGTGGAGAGAAGATTCGAAACGACCCCTATTAAGCAAATTAACCTCCGTTTTTTTAATCACGCACTTAAATTTGTCATTACTACGTTAAATAAATTAGAGTGATGGTACAGTTTTTTGCCAAGGTAATTTACAGCTCGGCTGCTCGGACATCTGCTTTCAGAAATCTCTTGAAAAGGTACGTTGCAAAACAAAATTTTTAAAAAGGATCACCTTGAACCAGTATTCTCGAAGTAATGAATCGCAGCTGAACGAAGTTCGCCTTCCTTTAACGTCTCACAATTACCCATTGTGTACGCTCCCATATCGTACCAAACAAGCCAATCACCAACCTAAAATTCATTTTCCCCACGTATAAATTGCCGATGTAAAAATGCAGTTTCTGCCTCACTGTCGCTCAAAACAAAAATTCCAGTTTCAAATACGCCTATGCTTTCACAGGAATAGCCTAACAGACTCGAGGCCTCAGAAATCAAGAAGGCAACAGCACAAATTTTGTCTAAACACAGCGCAAAAAAGGCAAGATAACCTGAAGTGGCGGAAGTCTCGTCAAAGGGAGAACAACGTCAGTGTCGCATGTCGTAGGCCC